TATCTGGGAGTCCTTTTGTGGTTTGTGATCTTGAAAACTACATAAATAACCTCTATTTTTGCAGCAAAAATGTACAAACATAAATTACAGACTTTATGAAACACATCACGTGTTTTTGTATTATTATTCGCTTATAGCGAACTCCGGATATAACGAACCAGTTTTTTAACCACTTTTCAAGTTCGTTATATACGGACTCAACTGTATATATAACCATAGATTAATGTTCAGTTTGTACGAATTTTTGGTACAATGAAAACACCCTATTCGTTCAATTAGGAATTAACTCTTGTCGAAGAGAGGGTGATGCACAATGTTTGCTTCCCAGTCAAACCAGGAAGTTTGTTAGAAAATTAAAAAATTCTTCAGCATCCAGCAGATTTTGCAACAAGGAAAACATCGGAATTAAGCATCTAATCGAAAAGTCGCGTAGAGTTTCTCAGAACTGGCGTGTGGGTGTAATCTATGACACCTTAAAATTACACAATCTGGCAATGCCGAATCCTAAATGCCCGTGACGTCAGCAGGAGTCCCACGCATCTCCATGTTCACAATGGAGAGCCCACGCGCTCAGGCCCGCGTGAATTGCGAATTCATGGAAATTCATGGAAACTGCTGCTCGCATTCTCGCCATGTAATTGCAGGATATCAATTTCAAAGTGCATGTGAACGGCTTGGAGAGCGTTTTTGTCAAGGGAACATGGCGAGAAACGTATGGAAACCGCGATGGAACGACTGAAAATGTTTTTCTGGTATAATTAAATTGGTTCTTCGCCCGATCGTCTTTGCAACATGTTCGAAAGCATTCGATTGATCGTAGTCTTTAGATTAAAGTTTGAAGACCTGGGAAAATACATTTTCAAACAATTGGGAACAGTATGAGAACAAGCAGGTTTAAAATAAAAATTTGATCGTTTGGGGCTCTTAAATCGGCACAACTTGGCGAACAACAAGTTCTCGAGCTGAAAGTTGTTTGGTTTTACTGGGAAGTTGTGCCGAACCTTTGGGGCACAGCTATTTACTCTACTTTATCTACTTGATAGCAAAAAAGCGGCTCAGAGGATTTTTTTCCGGCTCGGCTTTCAATGATGTGTTTTGGGGCAATATTGAAGATACTGAAGAACATTTGTGGTCGCTTTTCTTCGCAAATTTCACTTTTACCGTCCAACAAATCAACCATACAAAACAGGAACTAGGACTATTTACCTGGATATGCAGAAAAATATGCGTCCTAAAGTCTGCCAACTTACCTTTCCAGATCTTAGGGTGACTTTTCCGCCACATCTGGCACAACATCGGATCGTGCAGTAGTTGCAGATGTGCCCGATTCCATCGGCAAACTTCGTCTTCAGGCAAATGTGGCAAGTCGCTTCCAACTCCACGCCGGCCTTCTTCTGTTGCTCGTTTCTGGCCCGTATCTGTTGCTCCAGTGATTGTACTTCATCTGCCTTCTTTCTGCAACATCAGGAAAAACTCAACTAATGGGGTTTTCCAGAAAGTTTCACACAATGGCTGTAAAAATTGAGGTCTTAAGTTGTTTGGCAAAGCCCCATTTGAGTCCCAAATGTTGAAGTTTTGGCGCAGCCTTACTTGGATTTCAACCTGCCTAAATAAGGTTGTAAATAGGGCTCACGCCTGTCTTTATACCAAATTCAACTTCAACCTACTCTTTGAGTTCTAAAAAAAACTGCGCGATCAATTTCCGATCAAAGCACTTCATAGAGCGCAAACGGAGATGAAAGTAAAATTCACTTGATACGGAAAATATGCCGTGTGTTTCATTAGGAGAAGGTTTCTGAGTAATGAAATGCTTCACTAAAATAAATCGCTTTTGGATGATTTTCTAATCAATAATAATTTCTAATCAATAATCAATAATTGAACAAGTCGCCCTGTAGACAACGGTTGCTTTTTGAAGCCCATTTGTTGGCCATTTCGTAAAGTACAAATCAAAGGCTCTAACTCTAAAAAACACAAAGCGGAGTTTGAAGAGTTTTTTTTGGAACAATTGAAAGATTTACAACTTATAGGGTCGGTCAAAATCTGGCCTAATATACAGATTCTTCAAAAAATCCAGTTGTAGTTCCGTAAATTTTGTTCTTTTACATCGGAGTTTATTTATTTGTTTTGTCTTGTAAACTGTATTTTTTCTGTACATTTTCAATACTAAATTTATCGTCTTTGGAAAAATAGATCACACTTTCATGAAATTATCGCGAAAACTCGACTGATTCATACAAAGTTGGTTGGTGAAGAAAGGACGATAAACATGGCAAAATTTGCCTTTTTCCAGGCTCCACAAAATAGTGCAGGCAAACTGCATTTTTAATTTAAAAATGCAAAATTTTAAATGTGAAAAGCACAATTTAAATGCACTTTTAGCGTCATGACTTTGGTTGTCTATCCATAGTCGATGGAAAAAACTGCACAGAATATTACAGTCACTTAATAACAAAATTCTTCAATTTCTCCATTATTCTAAGCAAAATTGACACCGAAATCTACTTCAACCATTCAGTGGTCAAAAGAACCAATCTGCTATTGCAATACGCAATTTTTTGACAAATTTATAGTTTTTCCATTAAAACTAAATTTGCTAAGTTTTGATGTGTACAATTTCTCGAAAAGTCCCTGAGAAAGTGCTAAACTTTCCTGGCTCAAAGAACGGACTTTTTCGATATTATGATGCAATCGGGCTCAACTTTCTATCGCATTTGGGTTTTACACTACAAGTTTAGGAGCAGAGGGCTGCACACAACTGTATAGGAAAAAAGCACGGGTTTTAAAAAGTCCTTAAAAAATGCCTGGAAAAGTCGTATGTGCGAAAGTTTCCCGGTATATACAACTAAATTTTGTTAATTTAAAACAATTACATTTTGAGTTCAGGAACAGAGGCCTGTAGGTACTTAGCTGTCCCGGCAAAACCAATGGGTTTTAAAAATTTCTCAAAAATCCCTAAGAAAGGCGCTGGTATAAAACTGATATTTTTTATGTTTTTGTTTTTACAAAATTAGGGGCAGAGGGCTGCGCGCAACTCTCTTGGAAAAATTAACGAGTTTTAAAATTTTCTCAAGAAATCCCTCAAGAAGTTGTTAATGCGAAAGTTTCACGGTTTATAGCAGTAAATATTTTCTATAACTACGACTTTCTGTAACTTGTGGTGTTTACACTTCGCCTTCATAACAGAGGTCTATATGTAACTGTCCTGGCAAAACTGACGGGCATTAAAAACTTCTAAAAAAATCCCTGAGAAAGATGAACGAGCGAACCTCAGGGTGCAAAGACCTGAGTATTTCCTATAAAATGCAATAACGCACAACTTTGTACGGTTTGCTGTTTGTTTTTTTGCACTACGAATTTAGCAATAGAGGCCTGCATGTAACTGTCCAGGAAAAACTCACGGGATTTAATTTTTTTTTAAATCTCTGAGAAAGATAAACGTGCGAAACTTTCAGACAGCATACATTTGGGTTTGTTCTAGAAAACGCAATAAGAACTCACTTTCTATAGCGTTCCATTTTTACACTATGAATTTAAGAAGAGTGGCCTGCGTGTGCAAAATTTAAATTATTTTCAAATGATCTCTGAGGAAGGTGCTTTTGCCAATTTTTCAGAATTCATAAAACTGATTTTGTTCTATAAAATTCAAAAACGCGCCATTTATTATCGTATTTGAGTTTTACTCTGCGAATTTGTGAAAAGAGGTCTGTATGCAATTGTCCAGGCAAAACGGACGAGTTTTGAAATCTTCTCAAAAAATCTTAAAAAGGGGCACATGCAAACTTTCATAAAATTGTTCATAGAATTGCATTTTTTCTATAAAATCCAACAACGCGCAAATTTCAATAGAATTTGGTTTTAACTGCACGAATCTTGGAACAGAGGCCTTCATGTAACTGTTCTGGCAAAACTGACGGATTTTCAAATTTTCTGCAAAATTCCGTGACTAGGCTACACGTACGAAACCCTGAGGGTTTAAAGGACTGGATTTTATCTATACAATTCAGCAACGCGCAACTTTCAAAGGCGTTTTGTGTTTACAGCACGAATTTAGAAACAGAGGCCTGCATGGAACTGTGCCGGAAAGACTGATGGTGTTAGAAATTTCTCAAAATCTCCCTGAGAAAGGTGCATATATAAAGCTTTCAGAGTTCAGAGCCCTGCCTTTTTCCATAAAATTCAGCAAGACTCGACTTTCTATAGCTTTCGATTTTTGCTCTAAGTCATTCGGAACAGAGGTCTACATGTAACTGTCCAGGCAAAATCAACGGGTTTTAAAAATTCCTCAAATAATTCCTGAGGAAGGAGCATGTGTGAAACTTTCAGAATTCAGAGCACTGACCTTTTTCTATAAAACTCAACAGAACCTGACTTTCTATAGCGTTCGACTTTTACACAACGAAACTAGGAACAGAGGCCTACATGTCCGGGCAAAACGTTCAATTTTTGAAAATTTCTCGAAAAATTCCTAAGAAAGGTGCATAGAGAATATTTAGGAATTTATAGAGCATCTTTTTATCTATAAAATTCAACAAGACTCGACTGTTTATAGCTTTCGACTTCTGCACTAGGAAATTAGGAACAGACACCCACTTGTCCAAATAAAACGTTTAATTTTTGAAAATTTCTCATATAATTCCTGAGAAAGGTGCATGTGTGAAAC